AATCACATGAAGTCCAGATTAGAAGAGCCTTTACACAGGTCAATTTGTTCAATTTGACCCTCACCATCAGACTGTTCAGTTATCATCAAGAAACCCAAAGGACAGACAAGAAGTGATCGACACAAGAAGGAGACTGGACTTTGAGCACATGATAAAAGCGAGAGCACACAAGGGAGGGGTGAGGATAGGTAAGACACCTAAAAAATTAGCTGGCATTTGTTGCCCTTAACGCAGAGAAACTAAAGCAGATATCTTAAAAGCAACTGAGGCCAATAGGAGAAGGGGAGCAGGAACTAGAGAAAAGGTTAGATCAAAAAGAATTAACCTAAAAGGTATGCACAGGAAATTAATGTGAGTCAACTCCCTGTATAGCTATCCTTATATCAACCAGCAAAAACCCTTGTTCCTTCCTATTATTGCTTATACTCTCTCTTCAACAAAATTAGAGATAAGGGCAAAATAGTTTCTGCTGGGTATTGAGGGAGTGGGGGGGAGAGGGGGAGGGGGAGGAGTGGGTGGTAAGGGAGGGGGTGGGGGCAGGAGGGAGAAATGACCCAAGCCTTGTATGCACATATGAATAATAGAACAATAAAAAAAAAAAGAAGTGACAGACAGAAGGAGACATGTCCATACACACCTATGTGCCTCTATATCCCACGTCAAGCATGCCCACGCATATGCTAGTGCACAAAGGTCTTGGCATCTGATTCTTATTTATATGAGTGCCTGTTAAATATATATGTTTATTTTAACATAAAATAAGAGAAAGAAATGCCTACATATGACTTTCTCCATGAAGCTTCAGAAAATGTGTTTTTGAAACAAGACTTTGAATTAAGCATTCAGATTTAAGATGTTTTCCACATATAAGTTAGACTTAGCTATAGTGGAGAGCAGAAATCCCATCTCCTATGTAAACAGAGCAAGGGAACAACAGTGATTGTCAACTTGCCTCCAGCCATACACTTCAGCATCTCTTTCAAAATTCAGCTTTCATCAAATTTTCCCTCTTATCATTTTTGTTTCATGATGTCTTTTGAAACAGTTCCCATTTTAATTGTCATTTTCTTCTTGGTAGTACTAGTGTTACTTAAATGTAATAGAATTAATAGTAAACATTTAATAATAACTTCATTTTGTAAAATGTTTACCTGTTAAAATGTGTAATAGAAAGGAGAGAAGGATATAGTGTCTCAGGATTAAAATATTTATTCTATTACATAAATACCTGTATAAATATGATTACCATTTGCTATTCTGCCCAATAATTCATATCTCTTTAATTATTTTCCAGTAGTAGCAACTTCTATGTACTACAATGGCTGAGACAGGAATATTATTGAAATTAATACAAATGTCCTCAGAATTATGAAAGATCTAGAGAACCTTTAGAAACAATAGTAAATATAATTAATCATGGTAAAATTGATGATGGTTACATAGTAAATTCTGTCAAACCTGTTATTGAGATAAATTATTCCTTCTGAAAAATGTTGAGAATGCAAGTATTCACATTTACATAAATATATTTAATTATACATGGATGAAATATGGTAAAAATAAATACCTGCTACTCAAGTTATTCTATATTAATTTTGAGAATATATTGCCATATATCTTGATAAGAAACTTTTATTTTATAGATATTTAGCTCACATTCCTCCTTAATATTTGCTACATCAAAATGTTCCACTTTCAAAAAACATATCACTTTAGGATAGGGAAAATAAAAAGTAATTGCCTTGCCTACAGAACAAAATAAAGCATTTTTAAAAGAAAAGATGGCTTCATATTATATTAGTTCAGGCAAGGGCTAAATGAATTAATACTGAGAAACAAACAAACAAACAAAAATCCCAACTAGTTATTGACTTGTGAGAGTTTTGTAGGGCACTGTAGCCCAAAAAACCAGCCAACCAACCAACCAAACAAAACAGTCTTGTCTGTCTATGTGTAAAAGAATTCCATGAGTTGGTATGAGCAGATTTTACTTTTCCTACTACATGCCCATCCTGACTATTTTCTGTAGAAGGCCAGTCCTTCAGAAGGCAAAAACAATGTTAACCAAGCTACTAACTAACAATGCCTCCCAACAAAATGCCAAGGGATGCTCCAGTACTGGAATTTGCCATCCTCCTCCTCCCAAGATCAAGGCCAACTTAGCTTTGCATGCTAAAGAGAACAGATAGCAATTACAAGCTTATCTATGGCCACACAGACAAAACATTAATCAATTTGTCTCACTGGCATTTTCTCTTGGACCCAATGTATATTTCTGACTCATGGCGTATACTTTACTTGATTGACTCAGAATGTTATGGGCAGAGGAAAAGCAGGCCAATATGCTCATATAGGAAAGAGCTCAACATCTGATAGAATTAAGTTTTACATAGTATAAAAACAACTAATTACATATAGAAATCTACACCTGAGGCATGGATTTTCCTTCCTTCTTTCTCATTTTGTTTTTTCATTCCCCCTACTGCTTCTCATTTTTAATTGAGGGCCTCCTGTGGGACAGTGGGAAAGATGTGGCTGAAAGGTCAACTACTTACCAAATATTTCTGGGCTTCCAGTGACTGAACAAAGAGCGTGTTTGGAAGTCCTACTAGGTAGGCTTAAATAATGAAACATGCCATTACCCATGTAACACTGGGGCAACTTATCTATGAGTCATTCAGTGTTTTAACTCTTCTGTTTTGAAAAACACTGCTTTTAAAATTTAGACTTGAATTATGGTAGGAAACTGAACAATTCTGAGTTTTAGGAATTTCTATTAAATATGATAGTTGTACCACATGACTGTTCGGGTTTAAAATTTACAAGTGTTGTATTCATAGGCATAGTATATGGGCTAGTTTGTCTTATGGAGAACACAGTCTAAATTTCAGAAAAAGCAAATATGGAAGTGATACATGCTGTGAAGACAACCCTTTTAAGTTTACTGTGTAGTGAATGATCATGTAAAATCTGGCATGACTTATAGGGATTCAGCCTGAAGTTGTATCAAGGCCATATGTTACCAGAGGCAATCTGTGCAAATGCATAATTTATAACACAGCCCCACTGACTACCTGAGAGACCTAGGCAGGACAATGAATTAATCCAGGAGAAAAAGCCCCATGGAGAATTCGTTAATGTTTAGCTAAGGTCACCAGGGCAACTGCATTACTTGTTTCAAGCTATTCCTCATAGAGAGCTTGCTAAATGACACAAAGAATCAAAATATTCCCAGAATTTACAATAAGTATGTAATAAAACAAACCTACAATAACATAAAAATAAAATGTACAATAAAACAAAGGTAAGGAAGAGGACAAGAAGAAAATGAATAAGCAATATGGAGGAAAAAAGAAATATATAGAGAAAGACAGAAGAGTAAAGAAAAGAGAAACACAGAGGAATAGAATGAAAAGGAAAACAGACTGAAAAATGAAGAGTGATTAGATGGGTGAAAAATGGAAACAAGGATAAACGGAAAGGACAAAGGACACATTATATGATGAGGACCCAAGACTAGTGATACATAGAGCTATGAAATGATACTTTTTCCTGGAGCAAAAAAAAATAAAATGGAAGAAGATGAAAGAAAAGAAGCATAGGTATGTATAAATATTTGGATATTAACTCACCTCTTATATATTCCTATCACTCATTGCTTTGTCTTCTTTCTTGACATTTTTTTCTTCTCATGCTATAGTAACTTGGGAGTGACCTCACCCAAATCCATGGCTTCAGCTCCAGAAAGGTTGAAGACTTTATGACTATGGAAACTACTATTCCCAGTCCACAGCAACATATCCAACTGCCAGTGGACATCTCCACTTAATGGAATTCTGGACTGAAACATGCAGAGCTGAGTTCTCCATTTTTTAATTCCCCAAATATATTCTAATTCCTCCTTTATTCCACATTTGGGTGTATGGTGCTGTCTCCACTAGCTTGCCCAATCAGGAACCAGTATCCCCCCTCCCCGCCCATACTGTTCCTTCTCTTTTCAAATGGCTACTCAAATTTGCCTCCTAAACATTTCTCAAGTTGCCCCTGCTCTACATTCAACTCATGTTCCTGACTATGGCGCTTTTCCTCCTCACTGTGCTCAATGTACTTAGATCCTGTCACTACCTGCTTAAAGGCCATTGGTACACTTTACCACACAGTCTGACCTCCTTCTGTGACCTCAAGACCTCTCCTGCTTCATGTCCTCCATCCATAACTTCAGTCTCACTCCATGACTATAATTGTTTTTAAACTAGAGAAAACCCAACATTTATCTACCACTTTTTACCATCTATTTTTATATGTTGGTCATTTTTATATAAATTAAATATTTTATTTTATTATTAAGTCTATTTTTACTTATTTATACAAATGAAGATGCTGCATATTTTTTAAGTATAGATTGCTTATTATACACAGATCTATCTATCTCTTCCCCAAAGGGCCCTCAGCTAGACGGGACCATACTATGACTGTGAACTTGCTCTCTGACTTAGGCTTTTGCTTGTGAATGTCCTGTCTTTTTTCTTTGGGGCTGATCTTTGAGACTGCTTTCTCATGGGTGTCATGCCCTAGCATGGTGCCTGCCTATAACATGGGCTCAGTAAATTCTGTCATCAACACCATCTTCATTAAAGAGAGAACAGAGGTCTTTGTTCTCATATCCTTGAGAACATCAAATACAGTATAGCATGTGAGGAATAAGAATGAGTAGCTCTTAAGATTTCAAAAACTTTTATGGGAGATATATCATTCTTATGGTTTTTGGGGTTTTTTTGGCATGTCACGCTTTGTATATTCATAAAAAACCCCAGCTATTCACTCTTAAATTTTTGTCCCCTAACCTTGGATGTGACGTGATGAAAACTGTTAACAATCACAGAGTCACAGATGTGTCTTGGTCATCAATGCCAAACCAGTAACCGGGCAGTTTCACACACACAAAGTCACTTGGCAAATAATGGCTATAACTGCATTTCTGGCAACAGCCAGTAGCTCACCTTTTCTTCATCACCAACACAACTCCAAGAAATATAATGAGGAACAGCAAGATACCAGCAATGACCCCAGCGATTTTAACTGTGCGGTCTGCTTGTTTCTCAGGTTCTGGGACTGGCTTTGGAGTGGCGGCTCCTGCAGGTGAGAGGAAATAAAAAGGAGACAGGGAGGGTGAGAGAGTAAAGATGCTATATTTAAATTTTTTGCTGCATTTAACAGAATAATAAGACTTATCAAAGCCAGCAGACAGACAAGCTTTGATTTTTTAGAGCGCTCTCATTTGTGCTGAAAGCACGGTAGTTGTTCAGGTTGTTCTTCAATATCTTACTGAACCACAGCACACCCACGTCCGACCCCTCTAAAGGACTCTTCTCAAATATAGTTTTTAAATGTTTGAATCATCTCTCCTGGCTCCTGCTCTTGCCACCATTTAAAACCTTGCTAACGAACACAATAGATATCCCTAAGCCTTTATCCAAATTTGATTTGCTGGAACATTTTTCTCAATTATTTTTCATAAATGAAGCAATAATTCCATAACATATTAACTCAAACACCTGGAAAAGTGAGATAAGCTCATTTACCATGCATTTTACCAGCAATTGTTTTTTAATACAATAGAGTTTTTCCCCTGCCTTTGGAAATCTGAATCTAGGTCACATCTGGTAGGCAAAGGCTCCTTCTAAGCAATCTATTCATCAAGTGGGAAGCAGCTGGTGATCAACACCACTGACACCCATATTTAATATCTGCTTAAATGAGATAACCAGGGCCTCAGAGTGGTGGCTACATCTCAGCTCTCCTGCCTGCCTATTTCCAATGCACCGTTTGTCCAGCTTACAGTATAATGTGATGGAATGTCAGATCCATGTCTGATGAAATATCCATTTCCTCTGCTAAATGAGTTTGGGATGAAAAATATTAGGCATGTAATGTTCAATTCACTAAACAGAATCCATTTTTTTTAAAAAAGGCTATTCTTTGTCCAATCAGGATATGATGTATTCAGTGTCTGGGCCACCAGGCCACCTTGACTGAGTAGACAGAGGAATTTCATGTTCAAACTTCTCACCCTACAATTTTATCTATGCTTTTCTTGGTAAAAATATAATTAGGAGTGAATGTGGGAACCAGCTCTCTCTTCCCTTCCACTGGACTTTCCTCTGGTTATCACCTGGTACTTAAAAAACTTAACTGTTATTACATCTATGCCTTGTATACAGCAGACCAGCAAACTCTAAAATGATTATCACAAGAAACAGGGAGTGTCAAATGGTAACTATCCACATGTTTGTTTCCTTCAGGAATATACAAATCCTATAATGAAACTCATATTAAGATTTTATACAAGACACTTTGTATCAGGAGTGTTGTGTGGTCTGACCTGACAAAGCTGGTCAAGATCTGTGAAGAATGGAAGGTCAAGTCCATCCAAATCTAATCAGAATGCCAGTCATAATGATTCACCCTTCTAAATTATCCTTTATTTCTGACAATGTCAAGAGGGAGCCCTGATATTTTGTTTGAATGAATATCCCTCAAACTAGTTGTCCAGTTAAAATATTGGAAGAATTAGTGTTAATTATTTTTGTGGTAATTACATCTGAAATATACTACCAAAACCACTGGGCATAGAACAAGTGACTGATTTGAAGGAACTTGCTCCACTAAATAAATTGCTATGAAAACTTAAAAGATGAAATGTGTATTTAATAAAAAGGTGAATATAAAATATGAAAAAGAAATCTATGCAGAAAAAATAGTATTTCAAATTCAGAAACTGAAGACTAACATTTTTCAATTTTGATTTTGTACTCAATTAAAAAGCACAATTTTGAAAAAATAAAATAAAATGGATTTTATTCTCCTTAATGTTGACATACTGGAAGCCATTCTATTTATCTCATTAGTTATAGATTACTAGTTCTCCAAATACATTTTCTAAATAGATAAATGACTTAAGGTTTTTTTTAAGCAACTAAATTATGTTAGTAAGTACAACAATTGGTAAAGAAAATGTTTAGGAAACTTTTACTTAAAAAATTCAAAGATAAAATATATGATACAACCCACAGAGAAGAGTATGTCCCGCTAATAGTTAGGTGTTTGCTTCTGTTAACCTAACACCTAGTTACCTTTATTTCAGGATTTTACCTAGGCTCTGCAAGAATTGCGAATGACTCTTCTACTTTGAGACAGAGAGAGATGGTCACCCCTCAGTCTCCTGTCCTCTTCATGACGCAGGCAAGCTCATTGTTATGCAGCCAGCAGAAGTTCAATGTTATCATTCTAAGCTTTTGACTCATTTCCCATTGGAGGTCAAGAAAATGAATGCTCCTTCTCTGCATGATACAGTTGCAACGTGATTATGGTAGTAATCGGGAAAAAAGGGACAGTGATTCAAAACAAGGTGGGTGGACTGCCTGTGACTGACCTTCTGATACATTTAGCATTATGCTTTAGGGCCTCTCTGGAGAAGTTCAGGTGAAACAAGGCACCAGCATCAGACAATGTGATGAACAGTGTCACTGGTCCTGGGCCTCCTTGGCATATAGCTCTTGCCTTTTTCGCCCTTGGCACATAGCTCCTTCCTTTTTCGCCCGTGCTTACCCTCTCACTCTTTCTGAAACAAGTGTCTCTAAGTTGTGTTTAGACAGATGCTCTTTTCCCCATGTTCATTTCTTTGGAAACAGGTGTTTGTGGTTCGGAGTTGTCTATCAGCCTTGGACACAAGATAATCATGTTTTTTGTTTTTGTGGCACTGAGATTTGCACTCAGGGCTTCATACTTGCTAGGCAGGCCACTTGGGCCACTCCACCGGTCCTGATACAGGATAACTTGTGACAGAATTTGATTGTAACAGGTAACTGTTCTTCTTTCCTTACCCACAGCTATGAATTTAATAGTACAATTACAAACTGCTTGGCAAGTGAATTGTTTTGTAATATTTTCCCCTCTGTATTGTTTCCTTTCCAGGTTTCTAACTGTATAAACTTTTGTGTTTTTCCCAATATAAATTTTAAGTCTTCATGGAAAGGCAACTGTTTATCTCCTTGTGTGCATTCTGCTTAGAGATTACTGCACACTATGTTTCTCTTTAAAGTGAATGCACTCCAACGTGTGTATTTAACAGTGGGCACTAGTTAGGCACGATCATCTTCACTAAAATAAGGTGAGTGCCAAGACAGAGAGACTGCTCAGGGGAATTAGGCTGCTGAACCCAGAGAGCATGATCCTTGCAGGTGCCCAGGCTACTGTCTCCTGCGGGCAGCTCTAGCTGTTTTTTCTCAATGGTAAAGAAAGTAAAAAGGGTAGTATAACAGTCAGAGTCCCTCATTTAAGGCTTCAGACATAATATCTAGTGTGAAAACAAGAAACTTGAAAGAGGGGAATGATTATCCAATGAAGTATTTAGTTGGTTTTCAACTTGGCAGAAAGTCAGTTTTGGCCCAGTGCTCAAAGTTAAATTAAATAACAGCAGCAAGCCAGGCTGAGAACATGATGTGCTCAGCCACTGGTTTGAGGTTTGGACCCAGCTGCACAGGCTGGCCAGAAAACCCAAGAGTCTAGGCCCAGAAGGCCCCGAATCCATCATCGATGCCTGGAGCTACTGACATTGGTGCCCACAGCACAGAATGGACACCTTCTTAGAGGAAAGAGAGAGGCCAAATTGGGAATGGTCAAGGGCTCAGCTTGGTACACTGGTGCCAAGAGGAACCTCTGCAACAACAGTGAAGAATGCTAGGCTGACCTTGAACGTGGAAGCCAACATCAGCAATATTCTTCATTTATTTAACAAGTGTTTCCTGACCAGTTAACTATGCACTGTTTCAAGAACACAGCAGTGAGCAAATGAAAAAAAGTCCTCTGCCCTCCTGGAACTTATATTCCTTTGGGGAAAGACAGACACACATGTAGACAAATACTGTAGGCAGTGCACTGATTGGTAGCCTGCCTGTAGAGAAGCATTAGGCAGGGTGAGATAAGGGGGCAAAAGTGGATGGTTGCTAAGATGCAGGGATCAGAGAGAATTACTGAGAAAATAACATTAGGGTGGAGCTTTTCAGGAAGAAAGAGAATGAGACAGGCTGATATCCAGGGAGGAGCCTGGCAGGTAGAGGGAAGAAGTAGTTAAGAGGCAGAAGATGAGATACTGGGTGAGTCTGGAGTGGAGTGAGGTGGGAGAATGGAGAAAAGTGACACTGGGGGGAGGGGTTCCTTCGGTAGATGACAGGAAGGATTCTGCTGCTTCTCTGCTTGAGATGGTAGCTATAGAAGAACTGTGAGCAGAGGAAGGATCTCGCTTGTATTTTAACAGCATTCTAGCATTAAGGTGCACAACAGAATGTCGGGGGTCCATGGTGGAAACAGAGAATTAATCATAAGACTGCTACAATAATCTAGCCTGAGTCTATGACAGCTGGAATAAGATGGAATAGCAGAGGTGGTAAGATGTGGTCCAACTTGATATATTTTGAAGAGCCACAAGTATTTTCCCATGAACTGGATAGAGAATGTCTCAGTATAAACACCCAGGTTTCCCACAGGAGTTGCTGGGGGATATAAATCTGTCATTTACTGAAACACAAAAGTAAGGATGAAACAGGCTTGGCGGGTAGGTGGGGAAACCAGGAATTTGGTTTTGAGCCACTTAGGCTTGAGATGCTGACATCCAAAAGAGACACCAAATGGGCACTGGACATGCAGAGGACAGATCTGTGTTTGAGACAAACATTTTGAAGCTGTTATCAAAAAGACAATGTGTACAGCCATGAGGCTGCAGGAGGACACTGAGGAAATAAACACAGAAAGAGAGCCCAGGTCAGGAGGAGGGACCAGTCAACTGAGGAAGGAGGGAAATCAGCCAGATGGAGAAGGTCAAGGGGAGCAAAGAAAAAGAGGGAGTAACCCTGTAGAAACAGCCAGAGAGGCATGAAGGGATTGAGAGTTTTGTTTTGTTTTAAAGAGGAGAGCAATCATAGCATTTTTGAATACAAAAGCTAATGACCCAACAGAGAGGAAAAGTTGACTATGCAGGAGATGCCTGCAGGAGTGATGTCCTAGACGTGTGGGGGGGGGGCGGTAATCTCAATGCCCAGGTGGAGAGACTGGCCAGGGTAGGGTGCAGCACTTCC